CCCTTTTCTTATCTCTGCATTTTATTAAATTTCAAAAGCAACCATCACAATAATAACTGTTGTATGACATAAATGTCACAAATCGTACCCAAGGATGAAGATAGTTGGTCATACTGAACAAGATCTTATTTATACTTGATGATATAACCAAGAGACCATGAAGTATAAATAACGATGAAATCAATAAATACATTGTAGTTTCACATCCAATACCAACTCAATACTAACTCAATACCAACCCAATACTATTTAATTAGCGGACGAGGAGCGAGGAATAGTCAAGCGTTAAGAGATTAACCTTTATTGTTCGACATCATCTAAGTTACGTGATGTTTCAATCCCAATCCTGGGAGATCCGAGATAAGCAATTAATTAGTCGTGAATCTACAAGTGTTAGATCAGCATTAGAACTATAAAGAGTAGCAAGCTTTGCTATCTAGATTAGGAATTCGGATGGAGATTAAGATAAGGAATTCGGATGAAGATAAGAAGAGAGCGACACCGAGATTCTAGAGGTCTTCTACAAGATTCATCTAGATCTCAACGAGGCCGAGATCAATGTAGCGATATCGAGATTCTAGGGATCTTCCGCAGAGATACATCTAGGTCTCAACGATATAGAGATTAGTTATTGCGATACGGAGGTTCTAGAGGTCCCTCCATGGGAATCATCTAACCCAATACTAACCCAAACGAGTGTTAGATATCTGACGGAAAGAGGCGAGTCTCTAACTGAGGAATCTAAAGGGAAGCGTCCGAGACGTTACACCTTCTTGATCGCCAACCGTGGCACCCAAGAAGCTCATACATGAATAAAGAACAGAGAGTCCGGCACCTTTCTTTGTCTTTGGATGAGTACTGCTGGTCTAAGAGGGACCTTTCCCCCCATGGGCATGACACAAACCAAACTATCATAATACTAACTAGGCCTTTATTAAGTTGGGTTGGCATTAAGCGACACTACCCAATAATCTCTCACATGTTTCATTTTGATATTGTAGTTTTCGCCGAGCAAATCAAGGAAGGCGTTCCAAAACACATGATTACATGAAGTAGCGATATCAAAAGCAAGCTTTCGCTCTTTCAGTTTCGCGGGGATGTCCTTCAGTAAAGGCCTAAAGCTATCTATTGATTTCGGATCAAATAAGACTTTACTCATGTCTATCCAGTATATTGTGGTTATAAGACTATCCGCAATCCGTAGTAGAAACAATAGCAGCTCAAGTTGGTCTAGTATCTCATTTTCCGTTGACTTTCCGGCAATCCATAGCCGATCCGAATTAGTGATCTTTTTCAGGGGCTTTAAGACTTCTAGACACTGTTTGTAGGTTATTGTTTCCTTATTTGGGTTAGTACTAGTTGGGTTGAGAGTTGGCCCGGAAGTTGGGGGAATACTAAAATTGGTAGTTGTTATTTTTAGTAGCTGGCTGGCATACATGTCGGCGACTTCACGTACGCCTGGTATTCCTTCCAATTCAGACAAATAGCCTATTAGTTCCTCTGCCTGCATGTCTTCTACCATTTGTATTTGATCCTTCTTTGAATTCATCTCAAGAATCCAGCCTATGGAGCCATCTAGATTGCGAGATTCTATCAATTGATCTCCTACCAAAGGTTGAAATATATACATCCATTCCAAACATGCAGTCATTCTTTCCTTCATATTGCGTATTTGGTGTTCTGAGATTTCGTTATTGGGGTTATCTAGGCCATATAAATCAAAATTATTCCTTTCTATGCATGGATTGCTTTCACCTAATAAACAAGCTGTCTCAGTCGATAATTCGACACCTGGCGATAACTCCATTTCATCTGAGTTAGTACTGCTATCACTACTACCCAATACCACACTAAGCCACACCATAACACAACATAACCACGCTAATACTAACTTCAAACTCATTCCTAACATCCCTTTTCTTATC